ACAATAAATAATTTTTGCATGTTGAATAGACCTCAATTGTGTCCTGTTTTGGGCATCAAATATCAGGAAAAAGGGGGACAAATTGGAAAGTCCAGAGAAAAGCAACAAAAGTGGTTACATCTCTAGAAAACATGGCCTATGAGGGAAGATTTGAAAAAAAAAATGGGTTTGTTTAGTTTGGAAAAGAGAAGACTGAGAGGGGACATAACAATTTTCAAGTTATAAAGAGGTGGGAGATAAAATATTCTTCTTAACCTCTGAGCCTAGGACAAGAAGCAATGGGCTTAAATTCTATCAGGGGAGTTTTAGATTGGACATTCTGAAAAACTTGCTAATTGTCAAGCTTGTTAGGCAAAGGAATAAATTGCCTAGGGAAGTTGTGGAATCTCCATCTTTGGAGATATTTAAGAGCAGGTTGGACAAACGCCTTTCAGGGATGGTCTAGATAATACCTAGTCCTGCCATGAGTGCAGGGGACTGGACTAGATGGACCTTCCAGTCTTATGATTCCATTTCTTATATGTTCATTAGCAGCTAACACAGTATTCCCAAGCCAAAAAACAAAAAGTACCCTTGGTTTGATCTTTTGAACCAAAATCCTCTGTCAGCATTGATGTTTCTGCATTACTGTTTTTTTCTATGCAGTTAATCCAGGTTAATCATCATCATTATCACCTTGATTTTCAGGTTCTCCAAATTTATCTCCAAATCCTATGTCTCCTGCACATAATAATCTGGGTAAGTATGTTGTCTTCAGAACTATGTGTAATTAATAATGATAGGCATACTGAGGACCTCTTAATGATGATATTATTGCGTGGTGTGCCATTATTTAAAGCTTCTCTGTGCAAATTTCCATTCATTATGGCAACAGTGATTCATGGTAGCTCTAAGTTTAATATAGAGAACTGAGCTTACAACATAGGGTTGGATATAAAACAAGAGCCAGTGTGACAGACTCTCTCCTCCCTCCAAAAAACCCCCCAACAAAAACAAAGTGAAAAAAAAACAAAGTCAAAGAGTGGTGAGGTGGTCATATAGGTTTGCCAGAATATCTTATGCTGCTTTTATGTTAATAAATGTGTTTTTAAATTTAATTATCTTCTAGAAAGCAACTATATAATTTTAGTTGCTTATTATCTAAGGTGTTTATCTGACCACTGGTATTGTATATCTGAGGGTGCCTCAAGATCTTTATTTGTGTGTATATTTGCAACACGGTTGCTAGGCAGTACAGTGTGACTATTACTGTTATACAGATGGGGAATTGGGGCATGGAGAGGCTAAATGACTCACACAGGAAGTCTGGTGGAGCAGGGAACTGAACCCAGAACCCAGACTATCACCCTCCTTCTAAGATCTGTTTATTGGGATAGCTGAGTAGGGGATGAGATTGTTAATGGCATGTTGGCTGATGGAGTTTTGTAGAGCACAAGAGCAAAGGGTGGAAAGAAGGAAAGAATAGTAGGCAAAAAAGTGAATATCGTGGTGAAGCGCCTACAAGGTGAGAGACAGTTTACAGGGAGGCCCAGAGCCAAGTGCTCCCCCCCACCTTGCCCAGGGCCTAGCAAAGTCTGTCACCAGCCCTGAGTGTATTTCTGAACTTGCATTATCTCTTCAATGTGTATCTGATTGTGCTCTTTATTTTCATGTAGACTGACCAAGGAGTCAGATCTAACTGTATTGCTGGGCTCACCCCATTTGACTCTAATCAGTCACCCTCATTAAGAAAACCACAAAAAATTTTGCAACCCTTTGTACTGTAGGATCCATTCTCATGTTACTTAAGACATTAGATACAGACTAATTATGCTTCCGATTATGCTTTAAGATGCCGTAACCACAAAGTTTTTATATGTTTACAGTCTTTGCACAGGATACCCTGACACCACTCCAGAATTTCAGCATTGGCTGGCTTTTGGATGTCTTGGGCTAATCAAAATTTTTAGAAATGGGTTGGGGGTGTGTGTGTGTGTGTGTGTGTGTGTGTGTGTCACTAACCTTTTTTTTGGCTTAATTGTCAGTGCCTAAAAGAGAGACATCTGGCAGAAGGTTGTGGGTTTTTTTTTATTGCGTCCTTTATGCTCAGGCATACTGCTTGTGACTATTTGGAATTTCAAACATTTCTTATTAATATTTAAAAAATGATGACAAAAACCCAGTCTGGATTGCTTTTTGTTGCTGCAGTTAGCAACCACCTCACCTAAATGAGTAAGGAATCCCTAGGAATCAGGTTTCAGTGCCTGTTTTTTCCCAACAAAGGCAATAGTTGTTAAAACTTGCTACTTTAACATGTGCGGGTCCAGAGTCTGTCAGTAGGATGTCTGATGTGGTGTCTGTTGGCAAAGCGTAAATAAGGGAAGCCAAAGCATGTTAACCATCAGTAATCCGTTTGTAGTCCCTGAAGTTGGAGTCAGAAACTTGAAATCAAATGAAAAGGATATAGCTAGGATTTACAACATGAACCTTTGTTCTTTGACAAGTTTTTAGGTTGTACAAGTTTCCAAAAAATTATTTTTTAGAATTTATGCTGATGTGTTGAGTTGTGAGAAATTTTAAAATAAGTGGAACATCATGTTGTTAATCAAATGTGTCCTATGTCAGTAGTGATGGAAGATTTATTCCATCTACACACTGGTGGTGGTAGTAATATTAGGTAGATCAGAGGTTTCCAAACTGAGAAGAGGGGTACAAGGAAGGGTAGGTGGAATTTGGGTTATGAAGGACTGTGGCAGTGAGAGAAAGATAAGACTTTCCCCAGCTCGAGAGCTGCAGCTAGTGAGGAGAGGCAGCCCCCCTTCCCATCCTCAGCTCTGGCTGCTGTGTTAGAGGAGAGAGCCCTACTGATCTTAAAATATGAATTGTGTGCTTTGATTTGTAGTATAAAAAAGTGTTAATTATTATTAAGGTACAAACAACATTTGAAAAAATCAAGTGGTCTGCCAAGACCCTCAGCAATTATCAAATGGTCTGTGGGGGGGAAAAATTGAGAACCACTGAGGTAAATGATGATAGGAGTTTGGTATACAGGAAAGCCAATGTCCTCTTCCACAGTGTTGGCTCTACAAGAGGCTTTATGCAGACACTAAGTGAAATAACCACATACCATATGGTCAAATCAGTTAGTAATATAGGCCTCAGCTGGTTTCTGTGGTGAAATGCTGCTACCCAAGAAAAAGAAGAGGGGTATTCCCAAGCCCTTCTGAAAGCACGGTGGTTACAGAATGTAGTGATAATGAAGAGTGTGTGTTGGCGGTCACTCTTGCTTTCTGTGTCTTGCTTTAAGGATGAAATTCAAGATGTGGCAACCAGAACTGGTACATATAAATTAAGATTCAGAACATCTGACCCATACCATGTCATCTGAGAATCCAGTAATGGTATTGCCTTGCAGAAGAATAATAATTAATGTAAATGCCAGGATTTGAAGTAAGAGGCCTTTAATATCTCACCTACCCCAGACCAGTGCATACCTTCCTAGCCAGCATCTTTGTAATGTGATGTAATGTAATTCTTTATATCATTAGATTAATTAGAACATCACAGAAAAACGTTGATTTCAATACAGTTCTCCCTGTAGGTAGCTTCTAAATTAATAGAGTCAGTAATTAAAAAATGAGAAACATGGTGTCTCAACTAAATATTCCATTTTCAGTTACTAGATTTTCAGGGGCTTTTCTCTCCCCCTCCCCATTTTTCCCTGAAAAATTGGGAATAGTTAACATTTGTGGATTGTGATTTTTTTTTAAACTGTTTTTCAAGTGAAACATTGAAGGAAAAAAATGGAGAAGTGTTGGTTTTTTTTTTTTAACCTTTTCATACCTTTGAGAAAGTTTTAAAAAAAAATCTCTGAAAATTTTAGTTTTTCAAAAGCTAAATAAAAATGTAATTTTGAAATTATACAAACTTTTTTGTTTCAAGTGATTTCAATATTTACTGTGGAAAAGTAAAATTTTTGGACCAAAAGTTTCAAGTGGCCATTTTTCTCACAAAGTTTTGAGTGGGGAAAAATGTTGGATTTATGATAAGCTCTGTGTATCATAAACATAAATTCTGGCTGCTCTGATCATACAGTAAACCTGCTATTTCTTGCTTGATGTATGAATTTTCAGAAAGGAGCCCCCAGACCCATTCTATCTTTCTGTACAAAGTACTTCACCACATGTTCATGAATACAATCTGAGCTAGGTCACTGAATTCATCTGACTATGTGTGAGTGCTAGGAATAGCATGAAATGGTATGTTGTATCAGTTTGCTTTATATTTTTACTTAGATTGATGTAAAGAATCTGCAGCTGAGCTATCAGTAACACTATACTGTTAGAAATCTAGCTCGGAGATTTTGTCTCTCATCCCAGTCCTCAGGGGATAATTTATTGACCTCACAATTTGGCATAATAGGGATCTTTTCATGAGAGGGATTCAGGACAGGAAAAAGCCAGCAGCTTGTGTATCAGAGATGAAATGGGAGTGGCAGTGCTGTGTGTGGAAGACTGAAAAAGAGTTTACCTGCTTACTATGACTTCTTTCTTTAGCTGTTACTATAATCCCTATTGGCATTATCTGGCTCTAGCAATACTACAAGTCCTTATTTTCATGAGCATTAAATCTGTACAAATCACAATGATATGTTCCGACCA